CAGTTTTTTCTATCCCAGCCAATGGTATTTAACCTACCTCTGTTGTCTCCCCTATACAGCCCAATGGCTATCTGTCCCCTAACGCCATCTGTTTTTGCTGTATTGTGTACAATATCTTAAGCCGCGTGTAACCGGGAGATGACGCTTGGAGGGTTGGCCCGCTCCCCTGTTGGAATACAGCACACGTTCCATACATTTGGTTTTACGTTAGAGTTACGACGTGATAAAACCACACCGTGGCTGACAGGCGATACTCGGAGCGGCGGAAACCAGTGTAAAACACCACATATACCACATTGTTTATGACCAAGGTATCCAGTTAGCAATACAGCTGACTTTGCTGAATTAGGTCAGTCCGGTGCAAGGTCTGTCTATCCAACTTGTTGATCAGAATTTGGTCAGCTCAATACCAGAGCAATGCCTAAACCAGCTATTCAGTAGGAGCAGGTCATTTTTGAGCAAGGTCATTGTCTGACCAAATTTTCCAAAAGAACTGGGTCATTTCAGTGCAGGGTTAATGTCTGACCACGTTGTTCAGAAGAACCGGATCGGTTCAGTGCATAGCCAAAGTCTGACCGAGCTGTTCAGCATAACTTTAACTACAAAACAAATGCGTTCACTACAATACAAGTGCAATGAGGTCAAGGTCGGATCCGTTTGCCTGCATATCCGTATTTCAACAAATGACGTATACCCTTCGCTCTGTTCCTAACTCCTTTTTTAAGCTAAGCCCCCCTTCTGTGTAGTTGTGTGTGTCCAGGTACATTTCATGGAGATGATATTGTAAAATCACCTTTGAATGACTCCATGATGGAAATTTCTGCTCGGTGTCTTATACTGTAGTTATCACCTCAGGGTATCAAGGTGAACCATAGTATTGCACAAGGATGGGTACAGCTGTTCCAACGGGTGGATTAAACAAAAGGCGCACACGCGCAGATATCAGCTATATAATTTTTGTGCAATTTGTGTAAAACTGCTTCATATGACAAGTGCTGGAGACGAAAAAGTAATATCCTTCCTGTGTCTTACTACTTGTCGAACGAGTCGATTAACTGTAGGGCATCCACTGCAGGTTGGGTGTGGTTTCATTAAGGAGTCCAATAATACGGTCTGTCGTATTCCATTGCGTGATCGCTGAAGTGGACATACAACGGACCCTTACAGAATCACGGATTGTTTCCGTGTCCTCTACCAAGGTGACATTAAGGAGATCGATACAGATCGTAAGTCACCATGGCAACACTTTGAGCCTTGATTCCCTTCTTTCTTGTTTTCTCTTTTTTTTTTTTTTTTTTTTAGATTTGTTTCACACCCTTGGTTTCCATCTTGACACCCGTCCTCAAACGACCATGGCTGTTGCGAGGACGATAAAAGAAACAAAAACTGCACCATATAGCATCTGAGTCATTTAGGGTCTCTTCGGTGATGAAAGCTTTAAATCTCATCTTACCAATATACTGATTAATTCAGTCTGTATTGCTATATGTGTAGTGATCTCAAAGGAAGGAAGGATGAGAATGAATGAGTGTCGCTATTCGTAAGAGTCAATAAGGGGCATATATAGTCACCGCAAATGATTGTACTATACTCATTTTTTGGTCAAAGGTCACTGAAAACTAGAAGGGAATACCAAAACAAAATTTTAAATCCATGACATCCAATGTTGCCTTTTTATCAGTATCAATAAATAACACGTGCAGCTTGATAGCGAAAGAGTATCTTAATATGCAGTCATTTGAGTGATTGATGAGTCAACATTATGTTAAGCTTATGTCAAGCGTCACTTTGACTAAGATATTTTTGACTTTGTTGTATAATTTATGACCTTTATCCTACTAAACAAAATTGCATTCAATGATGAAATATCTTCACTTTATTTTTTTTTTTTAATTCAGTTGATTAATCTTTTGATATTATTTCCTTTTTTTAAAATTCTGCTTGAGTATAGGAAGTGATAAAAATATTTCGCGGTAGTTCAATGTTTATCAGAAAGTCAGGTGCCCAAGATTGTCATTCAAATAATATTTTGTCGGTTTCAGTGGATGTCTTCTCTCAGGTACTGGTCACAACATAATTTATATTTAGTCAACACACAGGGAAATAAACGGTAACGAGAACCTGTGCACCAACCCTAATTTGTTCACCCAAAGACCAAGTGTAAACCATTTAAATGTATTTACATGTATTATCTTTCGTGCGTGATAAATCATGTGATAAGCTTCGAGATAAGCAATCATACGATATTACTCAAAACGTTTTTCTCTCCCACACAAATATACAAACATTTGGCCAAAGTCCATTTAATATAAAGACCTAGCATGGTAGCGCGCTGGCCAGTAGGCTCTAGGTTTTTGTGTGTTGTCAAAAGCCATCCTGTCATCGGTTCTGTTGTCAAAATAGTGATAAGCCTTCATACAAGAAAAACAATAAACGAATAGAAACGTGACGTATACTTGTATACTAGTTCGTTATATTGTTCCCCAATTGTTTGCATTTCAAAATAATGATTAAAATAGTTTATTCGTTATCAAAGTTTATTTATTCATTACGTCTCATAGGTGTGAAACATGTCGTAAAAATGAAGAATTTTGAACACCGGTTTGGTAAATTAAATCACTCGGAGGAAATACCCCAAAAATATGAGAAAATAAGAAATGGCCCATTTCCTTTCGTAGTTAACAAAAATGCAAGGTCTTTTATGTTAAAAACTGTAGGCTTATTTCAATGATAGGTTTTTTTTGAGGTCGTCTTATCTTCGAGTTTTTGGGGTATGTTAAACGGATTAAAACCAGTTCTTTGCATTGGATGTCAGTAGCCTACTTCGAAACACAATTATTAAACTATATCAATGTTACTTTGTGTGGACGGCTTTCCGTACTGCCTAATACACTGAACAGTAAAACATTCAAAGCTTTAGTTAAAAAAATCTTTTAATAAAATAATTATTATTCTTTATAAGAATGTTTTGATATAAGAAAATAGATAATTTGTAACTTTCGCGGGGATTTCATTTTCGTGGTCATATCAAATAGCCCGAAAATAAATAAAGCAGTTATGTTTCCAGTAAATCAAACCTAAGACAATTTCTAGTATATGTCTTTATGCATGGATACCAGGGCGTAAACAAGCTAAAGAAGTAAACAGTATCTTCATTTACCTAAAATTCCGCGATACGAAAACTAGGTAAATAGCACCGATATACACACACATACAACACCCATTATATAGGTCTCAGTTTGGAAAAGGATACCAATTTCTTTAAAAATTCAAATAAATTAAACAAGTCACACAGATTTATAACATAAGACATGGGAGGTAGTATTGCACTAACACATTACGTTGCAGAACGTACCCGAACGCTCACAGCTGATGATATTGTCATGGGTGTTCGGTGATAGGGTCCTGATCTGGCCCCGTCAATCACTTGTGTCAAAGCACCTTATCTAACACACACGAGCCCCTTATTACCTCCCGGATTAGGAGAAGAATAGATACCAAGTGTCCTCGGATAACACACGTCATGGCGGATCCTCTTACCATTGTCAGTCTCTAACTCAGAGGGATTCCGAAGTGTCATTGACAGATCCCTGGGACTTCCAAGATTGTAGGATTTTTTTTTCTAATATAATATCATTTATAAAATGTGAACATATGTCCAACCTATGGCATTTTTGAACTTTTTTTATTCAGTTAAAACATTGTCGTAAAAAATGCCACAACATTACCTCAGTGAAAGAGTTTCTCCTTTGGGGAACGATATAGAATCCGGATTCCTCTAGTGTCGTCTGCTCATGGGACAATAATAAGACCCGCGGCCTCCATTCTGTTACATTTGGCCATCTGTATTTCCTGTTTCTTCCATCATCAAAAAAATGGTAAAAATGGACGGACGGTGGGGTTTGGAAGGGATTGTATCATAGAATTCCTTAAGTTCGATGAACAGGCGCAAGGTTGACCAAGGTTGAAAGCTCTAACATCATTTGGAAATTTGGTCCGCTGCACGTGCAGGGTTATCAAGATGGGTACTTAAGGCACGAGGTTATCAAAAGAGGTCACATTCATGAAGGTGAAGACGTTCCATGGATTTGACAAGAAGAAGGGTAGCACACGTGTTTAGGTCCGGTCTCAATATAGACTCCCAGGCGAGATAACGGAATCACACGTAATCCATTCCATATGGTCGTGGGATTTTCTCTTACAGCCACAATGACTTGCCCTTTTTATAATGAAAACGTGTAGGATTTACACCAAGTCCCGAAACGTGGGAACTAGGTCAAACTTTCTGACAAGAAGGGGTCATCAGCAATAAGATGTAAAACGATAAATTGGTTATAAATCGCAACATTTCGTTCGGATTGCCTTTTTACACTCTCATCACTTGCTACAGGATACTACATCTGTCCGATATTTTCTTATTTCTTTTAGGCATAAACTTTATCTAGTAAAATTCGTATTGAAATTTAACATTTGTTTTTGCACAACCGTTGCCATTTTGACAATTTTACATGTCCATCAACACAACCTGTGACCCAAACTTCACCAGTATTTCCATCGCCTTTTGAATGTTGAACTTATGCTATTTTCATGGTCAGTATAACAGTGTGTACTCGCCAAAATCATGTCAAATGTCATAGTAGTGATATAGGATTTTTTGAGTTCCGTAAAGAATATCTACAATTAGGGAATCCCTCGACTATTTCTTTATCACTTCAGACTGACCTATAGATTTCCGAATATATTAAATGACTTATATGAACAGTGGATTTTACGTGAATGTGAACAAAGGTATCAATTTTTTGTGTGTGAGGGATAAATGTCATGATGTCTTCAATGAAATTTCGTTGTTTTCGAGTCTTCTAGGTAACTTATAATAACGTATTCAGGGAAATGTTCGGATTTTTCTTTTCAAATTATAGTATTATAATGAGTAACATCATTGTCCTCCACAGGTAGCTACAACGGAACCGTGAGCCGCTGTTGCCACATAAAGAGCCCAGATGTTGATTCCTGCTGATATTGCCAACATGCATGACAAAGACACCATGGCTGCTATTCATGGAACCCGGATCTCGCCGCTGCATGCCCAGGATTTCGGCGCCACTTCCGTCATCAAAAGCACTATCAAACCTCAGCTGAAGCTGATACCGACAACAGAGGATAGTTATGGCGAGGATATGGAAGACGATGATTTTAGCGATCACGATTCACACTACTCCGAGGACTTCATCGATGATGAATTTATGCACGTGATCACCGAGGAACCACCTGATGTGACGCAGCGTCTGCTAAGTTTTGCGGAAATGGTGAACACAGATATTCAGAAATACTTTGGTAAGAAGAAGGAAGAGGATTCGTGTGATATATACGAAGATAAATGGGTAACGACCAAATCTGGGCGAGAACTGTACTATGCCGATCTTCTGAGAATAGCTCAAGGCGAAAATGTAGACAGTAAATCTAGGAGGGACACCTCTTCCGTGTCACCAAAACTAGATATTCAGGGCAAACAAAAGTTCACAGGGAAAATGGATGCCAAGATTGGATTAGGCCCGCTTAATGATTTATTTGAATACGGACTCCGGCAATTTTTAGTTGATGGAAAATTAAAAGCGAAAAAAATGAAAAGAATGAAACCGGATATAAAAAAGATGGAGGACGTAATGCCGATGAATCAGCGGAAGTTACCGGAGTCATTTTGGCGGGAACCTAGGGCAGAGCGTCAAACAGACCCACGTGTTAATAATGGCGGAAATCTGCTCAATACTTCCCACCCCCCAGACTTTAGTGACCTTCTTCAGAGTTGGACAGGGGTTGGGCATGTGAACGACTTTGGTGGTGATTTATCTTCTAGTGAAATGAGTGTGACGTCATCAGAATCTCTCTGACAAAGTCTTTTAACAAAAACAATATACGACAAAAATCCCGAAATGCATTGCGGCTACTTAATGTTATCAAAACCAAATCCACCGAAACAATAGAATCTCAATATTTCCCAGATTAAAACTTTTGATAATTGGCAGTCAGAAACACCCTTTCAGCAGCAAGTTTCTATTGAAACTCTACGGTAACAAAAGTGCAGTCAACTGTATTATATTGTGTGAAGCAAAATAATTTCAACATTTATTAGAAGTGCTTCTTAATTAATCAAAGTTTTAATGACGTGATACAAATCATTAGCCGGGGAATATACCGTCGCAACAAGATGTTTAAAAATTAAAACGGAAGTGTTCATAAATGTGATTTCCGGTGGAAACCGGAAGTAGGTAAACAGGGTATTTTTGGTGTGAGTGCAATGTCTCATTTCCATTGATTCATGCTGTTTCATGTACATTATATATGCAAGTGTAGGTGATTTTTAGTTTAATGTGTCATGAGCTCAAATTACCCTTCTCGCTGTGCCATTTATTGTTGTGTGTCAAAAAGTGTATACTTGTACCATTACAATACAAAGCTGATATTCAAACAATTTATCCTACTGTTTGTTATTGTATGTTCTTTCGTTTTTCACGTTTTATCTACAAGCGAGGCACTCGGTCAGAGGGTTGTCCTACGTGAAAAACAAAAACGAAACCGACATGTGGACAGAATTTTGAATCTGAGTTTGAATTATGAATATGTTGTCGTGTTGGTATTTTATTGTTGCTTTCAAACACAAGTTCGATCAAATTAGAGCGAAATATGAACAAAAGAACGAAGAATCACGAAAGGTACAGGGAGAATAAGACCTGGTGTTCTGGGCAAGTCTCCTCTTCTTTACCAATGATGCCCGCAAAGGTAAATTTTGGTCAATCTAATCGAGTAATGTCACGTTCGCAAATGACAAGGTAAACAGCAGCGAAATCACCAGAAATAAGAACACAACACGTCCAACATCATATCACACAAGGGAATAGAATATTTCCCAATAAGATCATTATGTCAACCGTGTAACCATAACCTTCAACAACCAGCATCTCTCGAAACACAGTATATATGAGCTTGTCTGTCAGATGCCGACATCTTATACTAAAATCATGATATAAGGAACAAGCACTTCAGTATCTAATATAATGTAAACACCATAGGTTTGGGATGCATGGTGTTGCCACCAAGAAATGGGGAATTCACACTAGGGAAATTGAAATATGCTTATCATACAACTTGGCGGAAAGCAGTTCCTGTTGTATTCATTGCAGTAACAAATCGCGATAAGAGTCTGTTTTGCCTTAATTGCCAATTATGGTTGTTATATGCGATGAACATGGTCAATAAATCTATTGTTTTTCAAAGACATCGTCAATATGTCTAAAAGTTAAAGTGAAGGGGTTTTCAAGGTGTTAGTGATCTGTTTCGATAAACTCTTCGATAAGCTCATTCGTATGAAAACAAAAACAAGTCAGTCAACACAGGGGCACAATCTACTTCTATAGGTTTACCAATTGGAAGGCTGTTGGAAGATCTTACTCGGTATAGTTCCCGTATGAATAACACTTCAGCGCAGGTCACAACAATATAGTATAGAAAAAAGCTGTCTTTCAGTCTGTTATTGCATCTGGTAGAGAAAAGTGTGGAAAATCAAATGCTCTTATAGAAGATACGTAGAAGTTGTTCTTGAAGATTGGTTCTCTGAAATCCACATACCTCTTATTCATCTTCTTGAGTAAACCGTATCACTATAAGACTTTATTCCCGATTTCATATTGCTAGCAATGGTAGTAAAACAGTAATAAAAAGGTATTTATCCAATATAAACGAAGGAGATCTATATCTGTATATTCAAGTGGCAATGCTCTGGATGATATGCAACGGATCTCTCGTATGTTTTTCAGTGAGGTTGACAACAGCTTCTTCAAGGAGACCCCGCCTCAAAATATCAGTTGCTGTTCACGGTAGATAAACCTAGCACACATAACAGGCGAAAATATACCTGTAAAACACACGTCACTTTGAAACGAGCCAAGAACTCGATATCGATAGAGAATACATGGTCAGTGTCTTAAAATATAAGATGCATTTTGGCATGGGACACAAAGACAAAAGAGATATTTTAAGATACTTATCATGTATTCTATTTATCTTGCAACATCGATTGAAAATCAGACCGTCAAAACGACAAAAATATTTTGTGTCCAGTCTTCTTTACCTGACTTGACGTTACGCTGAATTTCGCCTGATGATGTACACCGTAATAATTGCTCCGCGTAGATCTATAGTTCCAAACTTCAATGGGTATTACAGAAATTTTATGTTTTTTTCTAAATAAACTTGTTTATTACAATACATAAAATCGCTTATTTCAACAGTTGTTGTCTGTTAGATTAATTTTTAAGTTAATTCAGAAAGTAATTCTGTCGAATTACCGCACGTGCTTAAATACAGCTGCTTTCTGTCACTGCTAAATACAGCAAAAATATATGTGATAGGTGTATTTCGACAATGGCGCCAATTGCAGGATGAAAATATATACAATTTGTATTTCCTTGATTTTAAAACATAATGCCAAATGGTCTAGAACAGACTTATCTCATGATAGCCTTGCTATTAAGCAAATACACACACATCATATCTTTTCATATTACACAAGCAGTTAAGCTTATTGTGACGTCACTTTAACTAAGAGCGGACACGACTTAAAGTTTACGTAGAAAGTCCGCTTTCTACTACATCTGTATATTGGCTTTAAAAGTTTGTCATGTAAATAAAAATGGTCTTATAATGGTTTTCATTTGATATGCGATTGATGAAACTTGTCACAAATTGTTCGTTTTAGCGAGTACTTAAAATTAGACTCGTTTAATGAATTCACATATCAAAAGGAAACTCTGTAAAATACAATATATATATAACAGATCAGAACGAATCTAACAACTGTTCCGATCAGTTTTTAGAGTACGAAAATTCATTACGTCCAAAATTTCCACTTGAAAGCATTACAGAAATTAAGGGGGAAATTCTTCAGATGTTTCACCCTGGTAAGAAATCACGAAAGCAAATTCAGAACTCATCCTTTTTGAGGATATTTTGCAGTTCGATTCAGCCAAAAAAGATCACTGTAACCAGATCTACGAACAATATATACGTCTGTAAAAGAGTTGATATTTTTTTTCATTTCGCTTTATTTTATTTTCAGAAAAGAGGAATGTTTAGATGAAAACTGATTTAATATATATCAGATTGTGTGTGTGTGTTTTTTTTTTTTTTTTTTATCAAAGTTTTGAATAATTTATTGACATGTGTCAGAAAGACGTATGAACATAAACAAAAAGTATCAGGTACATCAAACTTTGGTCGAGTTTACAAGCGGGAACGACGGTTTTTTTTTTTAGACACTAGACATTACAAGTTTTCAACATGAGCTGAATGTTTCTCGACAGGAGGTTCAGCCGTGTAGACATGACAACGCTACAATGGAGAGATACTAAGCCCTTTGTTTATAGCAATAGAAATATGGCCGGAAAACAAATCCATTTGGCGTCACGGAAAGTTATCAGCCCAAAGCACCTTTCTGGGTAACATGTCATCGTCTCCTGCGAAATCAATATGACAAGCTGGATGTATGGACGTTGACATGATCTTTAAGATTTTAATGCAATAAGGGTATGTAGAATTTGTATGTGAAAATCATCTTAATGACATCTAGTAGATGTGTTTCGATAACGGAGTGCTTTTGTTTCTTCTTCTTAAGAACAGTACAGCGCAAAAACCTTTGTCAAAAATAGCATCACGATATTTTGAAGAAAAATGCTTTCTTGGTAGATACACTACACACGACATGCATCATTAGCTTATTTTCAAAAACATATTAAATTAGCTATTTCCTGCGAGACAGAAAAAAAAACGATAAGTCCGTAATAATTTTTTTATAATCGTGAAAAAAACCGTTCTCTCTACTTCAAGCTTTTGGTAAAATCGCAATAAAAAAAAAAGAAAAAAGAAAAAAGAAAAAATACCAAATTCAAGAATAGTATAGAGCAATTTGTCTCACGACAAAAAGTCAGTAAGACAATTGGACAGTAAATAAAAACCAGTATATCTAGAAATTTTTTGATAATCCTGTGATTAATTATCAAATTGACTTGTCATACGGATTTTTTCTTCCTCATTCCTTCTTCATGACAATAGTTTTGTAAAAACAAATACAGACACCTTGTGTGCGTTGGTCTCTTTCGAACAGACCACGGAGACAGGGAAAATGTCGTATTTGACGTTTGAAATGACAGAACGTTGTCTGACGTCATCGAATGTCTGCGTCTCTGCACGTGTGGGGTCATCCTCCACGTGAATGGTACGGGGAGGGCCCCGGACTGTCACAGACCCCTGCTAATCTTACCTAATGATTAAATACACACTCGACTCGTATCTACCAGACAGCATTTACACGTCAAACATCAATATTGACAAAACTTATCTCTTGATGACCCTGTGTATCCCACGGCTTTTGTTTTGACCCGGCGACCCTTTGTAGTTGGAAAGGGAACAAACAGAAAAAGACTCACAGATCTCGAGAGCACGAGGAATTCTTAAGACACTGTAAACCAATGACTGAACATGTCAGTTTGTTTTAGGTAGGTCCTGCGTACCAAAGGTATTCTCTCAGACCAGTACCCTTTGTCTTAATGCAAACGCTTGGAGCACTAAATCAGATCGACGCTGGACGGGTTAAAGTTTGAAATTCGAACAAATTATATTTACAAACATAGCACGTTTTAAGAATAGCAATGACAAACAGGTAACCCTGACTTGGTATCTAGTGATTACTGAGTTTTTTCAGACATAAGTACCTGCAGCTCCATATATTAATTATATTGTTCGTGAAGTCAAATTTTGAACGAACCTCCTTTGGAAACTCAACAAGTTCCAGCGATCACCATACATGGCACTGCCACTGTATAAACCAACAAGAAAATTGTGTGATTTACGATACAATAAATGTCATCCAGCGAGTGATTATCATGACGTCATTATTGTGGGTGTTGAGCGGCAAAAGTTCGCCGTCAATATGGATTTTCGTCCATTTGACGGATTACACTATTGAAAATAAATAATTTCTGTCAGTTCAAATCAATTTTAAAGCAACATAGGACAGCAAAATGAGCAAGGTATGTAGATAAACCCATTGAACTGTCTTGTTATGACGTTATTAATGAGTTTCGAAGGCAAACACATCATACTGCGCAAGCGTCCAATGCCATATTTCTCTGTAGAGCTGTATCTTTTAATACCATTATAAATGCCAAGACAACTTAATGCTTAGATTTACTGATGATCTATACATACAAATACACAGCCTTGCAGATATTTAACAAATTTTTTTTCGTTCATATTTTTCTTTCATTCTTCACGTTTTCATGAAACCGGCTGTGACGTAAAAAGATCAATAACTGACATGACGTCAAAACAGTGTGACCTTAATTAGGTCAAAACACACAGACTTACAACAATTTTCATCCCTCTTTTTAAATCATTCCTTTTTTCCCTTCGCTTTCGGTTTATATCAAGATTCACGGAGATCTCTCAGATCTGTTGTTCCCGTCGGGAGTGCAGAGCCTCGTTATATAGAGCGAAGTGCTCAAGTTCAATACTTAATTTTCACATCGACGTGAATTCCATAAAATCCAACGTAACTTTATGATTACTTCATGAATACCATGAAATATTAATAAAACCCGAATGACTTTATTAAACATCGATAGCCTAAATTAATTTTCCTCGTATCTTTATCGTAGAGACCATTTTCTATTATCAAATAGTCATTGTATGCGATTTATACAATTTTTTTTTGCAACATCATGATTGGAATTTGAGTGAAAAATTAATAAACTCTGTATACGGAAGGGCTGTCGAAGAAATGCCCTACAATAGCTCTGTCAAAGCGTGTTGGGCACCTCACAAGACGACGTACTTATCTACAAGATACCTGTACGTTTTAAAAGGCTTCAATTAAGAACGGTTCACTAATGTAACGCCGAGAGACGAACCAGCTCTCTAAACACGGTCGAGCCTGGCGACGCGGCTAGCCTCGTTGGTTGGGATGTTCTCCTTAAAATTACAAAATCTGGACGCTGTCATGACACATCCGAACATGATTTGACAATTCCTGTAAGAAAAACACGTCTTTTCCATCAAAGAAGAATGAAGGTCACAACGAGAACCTACGCAATCTAATTCCAAAACTGATATGTCATGGTTTAAACTAACACACCTGCACACTTCTGAATGACAGCGTAGAGAGCTTGAGTTAAGTTTTTGTCTAATTGATAGATACGGTTTTCACGGGGGTGGCCAGGATACTGTACATAGTAGATACAAATTATATATATATATATATTCTTTTATGAATCACCCTTTACACTAGTAGGTAACAAGGAAACAAACAGACAAATAAACAAACAAACAAATCTCAAGGATCACTAACTCTACTTCAGTACAGATACGTCTCTGTTCAGTATAAGAATTTCTTCCTTTTAGTTAAACAATATTTTGGGATGTGCAAGTTTATACAAGTTACACAGTACATTCTTGAGGTAAACAGTTTTCCGATAGTTGATTTAGAAATATCACCAAATAAAACACTTATTTGCGGCAAATGCCAATTTTGCACTTTCTAATACCCGCGGCTTTCCTCTGTGGTCATAGACATCACACTAAGTACGAGTAATGCCAAAAGTCACGGTTATAACTCAATTTTGTTGCATGAAACGAAGACCCCGGGGATTCATTTCTCGTCATATTTCAAACTGATAACTCTAGTTTCCACAAGCTCACATCAACCGAACTTAATCCCGCTTCCTTGTAAATCCTGCTTTGGTTACCTTTTGAAAAAAAAATAATCTGGTGTCAACTGTGTCCCAATGGACTCAAATACCACACGGTTGCAATTGTACTCGTCTGAAGTTAGTTACCTGGCAGTTCTGAAGATCAAAGATCAAATCAGGTCATTGTAACTATGAATAGAGCATCAGTGTTTTGAGAGTGTTATCCCCAAAAAACTTCCTTACTTCATATTTGAAAGTGCATGCTTGAGATTGTTCTTCAGGTTACTCTGGCAGTGAGTCATTAAATGAAAACAGTTTCCGGGTATGTTGACAACGCCGGGAACTTCTATTTCTGTAAATTCTCTCGGACTAAATCAAGAGGTTTTAAAAAACTTCCATATACATAACAATTTAGCCGGAACTCAGACAAGACCCCGTATTTATTCACTACTTTTTTTGCACTAAAGTTCAGGAGTGACATGACAACCTTGCTTACGTCATCACAGAATTCCTAGTGTTCTACGTCACTGTCATGTTTACTTTAGTATGGCGAGTAAACGAGAAACTCCTGGATTAATGACACAGCAATACTTACAAGTGGGTGAGGACGTCAGAGTATAATCAATATTGATTATTGTAAATTCTGTGTGAGAGGTGTCAAGTTGTGTTGGTCTCTAGTTTGTTTCCTCATTGTGATCAAAATGGCTTGTTTATTGGGGGTATTGTTACTGCCGGTGACGATAATATGATATGTATTCGAACAATTTTCAATTTTCCCCCTTTCATTATTTGCAAAATACGCAAATACATACATATTTTTTACACATTGATTTTTTTCAAGACAGCAGTATGTAATATCTCACGTGCACTTTCGCAGAAAATTACAAAGTATCATAAACAATATGAAGGCTTCAATGATAGAAGAAGAAGGGAGAAGAAGGGAGAAGAAGGAAAAGAAGAAGAAGAAGGAAAAGTAAGACTAATGGAGAAAGACTGAATGAAATCTGGAAATCCATTTTTATTTGACATTTCCTATTCAAACAGATCCATCTCTCTCTCTCTCTACCCCCCCCCCCCCCACCCCCACCCCCCGTTCTCTATTCCCCTCTCTCTCTCTCAACATTGTAACAAGAAACTGACATTATGATATTTCACAAATTGATAGACACTGAGAGGACACTCAAATATTCTGAAATACAATTCTGAAATAGAAGATCAATGATATATGATAGAGACCATTTCAAAACACACCCTGACCTGTAAGCAAAGATCCCTGTTTGTACTGAGTGCAAATGTCAAGTTCTTCAAGTCTGGGTACTTCAAAATCCTTTCTACCGTAATGAGTCCAATGTTTGCCTTTTTCAAACATTATAGAGTTGTTGTCTACACAAAGACCAAGAACATCACACCATTTCCAATTTGGGTATTCCAAGTTCAAGGTCACAACGTCGACATCTTAAAACACTTTAATGTTCAACAAACATAAATGCTAGCTCATTTTCACGACTCTTTGAAACTTCGGACACTTCAAAAGACAAATGAGGCATCAAAACCTGTCTACACAGATCATTCTCTCAGATGAAGACATATGTCACAAGTACAAGATAAACAATTTGATTTGGTGAAACTAACATCGGGTGGCTTCTCACTACTAACAAGTGCAGGTGGCAAGCATTATGGAAATGAGGTAAAGCTGAAAATGAAATGGAATTCCGTGCTTTAGGATTATAAAGAGTAATACTGTATGATCGGGATATGCTTAAGTATCTCAATAATTTAAAAAAAAATTCTTGTTTTGAACTAATCGAGCTAACTACTTGATTAGTTAGAATTGGGGCATAATCGTTAATGCTTCTGTAACTTAAGATATGGCAAATAATTTTTGAGGCGTCGAAAAGTTTTGTAAATTTGTCAGATGGTTTCTGTTGGTGAAGTTTTGTGCTTAAACATGACAGAGTCATGCACAGGACTGGAAATGATAAATGGCGCGAAAGTATTCTTGTTGTTCTTGGATGAGTAAGATGACATTTTAAAGCAAAGTTATAGCATTTGAAACCGAACTTCCTACAACATCTCAAGGCCTAGATGTGTTTGCTGTATCAGCCTGACTGCCTCTTCATCAACTTTATATGAAGAAATTTAAGGGACAAAGAAGAAATGTTTTTTTTTTTAATTTTCTGGCAAGAGTTGAAACACAGAATGTGTAATTCCTCCTGTCAGTAATATGTTGAGTTCTCCCATTTCAAATACAATTTTCATATTTCCGTCCTTACAAATTTAGTTTCAGAAATTTTCCACCAATAATAATATTTATAGTTAGTACCAATGGAAGGCCACTGTGTCTTACTGTCAGGACAGATAACCCTGCATCATGTCACATTAGGCACATATTTTGAACAGCACCTCCTCCTCCTCTCCCCCACATATGGAGAGAAAGCAAGTGAACTATCCACATGCTGCTAGATGGGTTCAGAATAATTTTTGTACCCTGGCAACTGTAAGAAAGTCAACTACCTACTTGGGTAGTGCAGTAGTAATGTCCTGGGTTTGATTCCCTGAATGGACTTAAAAAGGTATAGGGTCACATCCATTATGACTCAAGTCTCTTCTTGGTAATCCTGTCACCCTCCCCTCTCAAGTATAACCTCCTGGATGTTTCCATCCGGCCAACAGAAGTGATTCATAAATGTTGGAATCATTTTTATAATTGTTGAAAAATAAATAAAATTCCTTCATCTCTCTATTTGACCACTTACTGAATTACATGTATGTGTTTAATCACAAACATATATTTATAAATTTTTATATAAAACAGGTATCTATATATTTACTTGGGTGATTTCAAAGACATTAATCACATAAGCAGGAAAGTTTCCATTTCACAATAAAAACTTGAACATAATATACATACACAACATTTTATTTTTAATAAGCATAGCAACAGTTCATAAAAGTTTTCAATCAGACAAAATTTCATCCACAAAAATATCTCTTTCTCTCTCTCTCTCTGTTGTCTCTCCCCTTTCTTTCTTTGTCTTATCATACATAACAAATGATGAAAAATTGCTACTGTGCATGTTTTAAGAATTTTCCTTAAAAATGTACATCTGTATCCCTGCATACACACATTATTTTCAGCAGCTACTAGAGTACAATGCTTCACAACAAAAATTCTGTCATAACAATTCAAAATTTCATTACCTAACATGCAATAATTGTGATGACCAACTATGCATCCATTCACTTCAAACCTGATGCATTCCATTTTGTCTCGTCGAATCAAATTAGACAAACTGCAATACATTTTGTCTCATCCAATCAAACCGTACATGGCATATACGGTTCCATCCAGTAAATTTTGACCTGAGATAGTATGTTTTGTCTCATCTAATCATGGTCTTCTCCAATCAGTGCTGACAGCAGTATCAAAGATCTGGTTCAATTCATTGCAGTTTGGCACATCCAACCAATAAATTCTCGATAAAGTGGGAACATTCCGCCTCATGGTAATCTAACTGTTCCTTCTTTCACAATCGCACGAGACAGATTTCTCGTCAGGGCTAGGCGGAGTAAGGCCAGTTTTTCCTTCTCACGCACATCTATGTCCTATAAATAAAAACCAAAATACAGGACTTGGTGAGGATCCCCGTAATACAGTATAACTTGTGTCTCATATGGAACCTTCAATTTCGTCATGACATGTTCTAGGGGTGCAAGGAGCGAAAGTGAATGTAACCCCTGGTGTATTGAGGATGACAATTACAGATAGACTTACTGCTATTTAAGAATAAAAAATTTAATAAATAAGATGTAGGTAACAAGTAAATTATAAAATGAAGTTATTTATGAAAGAACTGGATAGTCTTTTTAAGCTGGTCTCTATGCAGCAGTCCACCTCTGTGCCTAGTTCGTTCCAGAGTGAAACGATTGTGGCTTGTGAGGGAGTGTTGCTGTGAATGGTGTCTAAGAGTATCTTGAGATGCATGCACAGCCACATGTGCTTGATGCACACATGCACAAACAAGGATTATGTATTGAGAATACATGGCTAACATGCCCGTCTCACACCCCACTCCTCCATGTCTCTAGTGGCATAATTCAGAACAGTTTGAATGTTGGACTAAATCAAAGGCAAGTTTAAGACAACATCATGCTCCCAGCAAGGTTTATAGTTATAAATATATCTATATGCCACCATTACAGAAAGTAGATTAAGATACCCCTGAAGAAAGATCAAATTCTGGCAGCTCTTCTCAGGTCAACTGATCACTTAACAATGTTTAGAAGTACTCATTCCCAGAATTTGTGAATGATGGTGAACTGTCTTTTACATCCACCCACAACTTAATTTTTCCCAGTTGAATTATCAGATACTGCTTATGGATAAGCTATTAGTATGAATTTGAATTGAAAGGTGCAATTCACTTGTTTGTCTTTTGTAAACCTTAAAATTGCAGGTGGTAGTCTTTGTTGGTGAACTTTTAGTCCCCGAGGTTTGCCATAATCTCCCATAAAATGATAATCAAATTTTAATTGTGTCATGACTGAGAATAGTAATCATGTGTACTTGACTTTTTGTTTTAATCAACCTGTACCTTAAAATGAATAATATTAATGTATCTCCACAATCAATGTTTTGACATTGAGGTTTCCTCCATTTTAGTCCATTCCTAATATATTTAGTCACCTAGCATTACTGATGAGTCCAAGGTGAACCAAACTCTGTCTGTATGATGACGTTAAATTCATTGTTTGGCTATGCTGTATCTTGTTTTCAACATATACTGAAGGTTGATATACTTTTGTGTCTTTTATACATCTCTCTAAAGACTGTCTACCAAACACTATCAACCCTAAGCTATATCTTTGATACTGACCTTGAATTCCCTCATTAACTCCTCCAGACAGTGCATAAGGTCAAAGGTCTGACTACTGCTGAATATAACCTACAACATAAAACAGACAAGGAATATATAAGAGGAACACTATATTATTCTATCACAGATAACAATAATGTGATAGAATAATTACTTGTCTCACAAAAGGAGAAAGAAATTTTTATCAAAAAACAAATCTTCATTTCCGAAGTTTTCATTGTCAAAATTTGAATTTCTAACCAATATTTTCGAAACCAATCCCAAGAAGAATGACTCATTTCATGAACTCACCTCTTCTGCTTCCAAAAGTGGAATGGCATCCACAAGCAATGTCACCCAGAACCTGAAACACAAACATTTTATGTCCTGTATCGTAACCGAGTAATGATAAGACAAACTCTACAACATACACACATTGTAACCAATTAAAACCTATTGAAAGACTGAAGTAAGGTAAACGTAATTCCTTCACGTGCGGTTTTCTTTCACAGAAGATTTTGCAATTGAAACCAATTACCAAGCGTTCATCCTCGCAAAATATGACAGTTGTGTAGGGTGAGAGCAGTCAGTACCTTTCGATAAAGTCAATTGCCACAAAACATTTAGTGCAAAAGAAATTTTGGTTTACAGCATGGTAATAGTGCTGTGTTGGCATGGCAGGTACTTACCGTTTTGGAGCCAACCTTGCCTGTAGTAGGGAGAGCAACAGTTGGCCAGCAGCCTGAAATTCTTTTTCCTCATATAACTTGTGGAACTCACGATATTTCCCTGGAGAGTTAGAATTAGATATCTCTAAATAAATTCACTATATCAATTAAACAGAATAATTACAATACCCTTCAGTTGATGCTTCAATGGATTTAAAAGTTGCTGTTTGAGAATTTGAGCTTCAAACATAACTTCATTATCTATATCGTCTTTCAAATTCAAAAAGATAACATTATTAATATTGTGATAAACTACAAATGTATGAGGCGTGAAAAATCTAGATGGATATTGTTTATCAACTGCATATGTAGAGGATCCGAGTTTTCATTTCATTTTACCAAGTAAAGTTTGTTACAGCTATTTATAGAGAAATACTTGATGGATCTCAGTCAAATTTCATATGTAGGCTCCCCTCAGTCCCTAAGGAAGTCATCTTGTATTTAAAAAATGAAAGTGTGTTATCTTCTTGAGGAGTACTGGATGAACATCTTTCAAATTTCTTATAAATGCTCCCCTTATGCCCTTAATTGTACCCATTTGATTTTTGCAAAAAAAAAAAAAAAAAAAAGAAGACAAACTGGATTCCAGGGGACCATCTTGGCAGTTAAAAGATCATTATCACTATTTCTGCTAAGGAATATTCAAATTTCTTATCATTAAGAAGAAAGGAAAAGATCCAATCAAGATCAAACCATGGTGGACACCGAGATCCCTCCGAGATCTCTTATTTTATCATATAAACCCATCTGATAATGGAAGGCTATAAACTTCTGGATTCATTTATCAATTCAACGACCGAAAAAGTTATAATAAAATAAAATTTTACCTAGAAATGTGAGTCGGTTACTTAACAACATGGAAGGTCCTAGATTGTCGATGAGGTCAAGGTTGGAGAAGCTACCTTTCTCGCTGTACTCGAACAGGAATCTTTATATACATAAGAAACAGCAGCCATGAAAAACAGCAAATAACATTTCAAATTCTCATACCATGAAATATTCATCTATGTTAAATACTGCCCTTTACAGTATGCTATTCTACTGTAGAATATTTATTTCATGTTTGACCTAAGTTTGATACTGCCCTACCCAGTATGGTATTCTACTGAAGAATATCTCTGTTTCATGGTAATTTTATTTTCTTTATTTTGAGGGAACAAACAACATATTCACATATATAATCTGTCAAAGCTTTGATATGAATCGTTAGCAATATACGATTCCACACGTTTTGTTAATCAAGGAAGTCAAACGCTCACAAAATAATATTTTCAAGAGAAGCCACAAAATTTCAGACCCATAAAGGATATGATTTTAATGGTATGTGTACAAACCTATACGTTAACATGCCTGTCTTGATAAAACTGACATCTCTGGGAGTCAGTAAGTTAAACAATAGTCAAACAATATTTACTCAAAAGTTTCTATAAATATTAATCAAAAGATACTACAGTGGCTAAACACTGTTTTCTACATGCAGGTTGACATCTGTCAACAAAGAAGGCATGCTTGATACTCCAGGGGTTACTATCACTTTCACTCTCTACACCCCTGGAACATTTCATGTCAAAACTGAAGGTTACATGTATGACACCTTGTGTATAAATTAAGAAAACTGGTTTGTTCCTTTGATGTACATCAAACAAATCTGGAGTTTGCTTAACAGTATAATGTAATGGCTTTGAAGTTGGGTGTCGTCCCTTTATGATCTTCAAAGGAGCATTTTAGTCTGTGATTGGTAAGATTTTCTTTTCCTGAAATCCAATCTAGACCAATCTAATTACTTCTCATGTGTCTTAAATATTGCCATGAAATGTTCCGAGAGTGTAGAGAGTGAAAGTGAGGATATTCCCTGGAGTATTGAGGATGTAAACAAGGTTATATGCTGCTTAGATATGACCAATATAAAAAAGTGAAGAAATTCACAAATTTGTCTTTTTTCCAGATGCAGTCATTTTTTATACTCACCGTTCTGCTATCACTGTGGAAAGGGCTACATCCTGAAATTGAGGTACATTAGTATCAAGACAAAATTATCTACTTAAATCAAATTGAATCAAGAATAAATTTGATATCAGTACGATATGACAACACGCCAATATTCAACATTCTCCAATTAAAGTTGCCAAAGAAATGCTATATCATTGTCATGTAATAAGCCCGCCTTTCTACAATGAATGAGGCTTATTTCAGTTTGAATTGTCAGATCTAGATATTTGTCCTATCTGATATTATGGGGTTGTTGCATCATCTACATTTCTTATCAAAATATTGATTTCTCTTGTTGACCTTGACCCTTCCACACCTTCACTAACAAAATGCTTGCCTAATCCTCTAGAGGTACTCTGAAAACTAACCTTAGACTTGAGGAACCAGGTGAGTGCAGCACCAAGTCGTTTATGTTGCATATGTCTTCTTCCCATCACCTTACAGATGGACTTGGCTACGGATAAAACATAACCACATTAGTTTATCATCTTACAGATGGACTTGGCTATGGATAAAAATTGCCAACATTATAATAGCATATCTCTTTGTGAAATTAAAATATGAATACTGTAACAAAATTGTAAGGTGACATTTTCAAATCTTTATGAAAAATATGCAAAATATATCAGGGGAGATAACTTGTTTGACATGTGACATAAATACAATACCTTGTTCTACTAAGTTCCTCTCCTGGCATATGTGTAACAGTTTCTGGGCTTTCTTTTCTGATTCTATAGAAATGTTTTCCATGAAATGTTCCAAATATTTCCTATAAAGGAAACGTAATATCAACTTTAATATATTTTCATATCATGGAATAGTGACTTCAAAATGAAGGTTTGAAAATGATTTACTTTTAAAACATTTCTAAACCATAGGCTTTTTATTATGAAAAAATGACTCACTATAAAACATACTCTGAAACTAACAATGTTTACTGTATAGATTCAAGCAGAAACTAGCACATATTCTCGTAACTAATCAGCTTTACATCTTTCAACATAAATCTGGTTGAATTCCATTATGAAATCTTTAGATGCAGTCAGCATCGTGAATTCAAAATAATGTTACCACAAGAAATATATCAAGACATCAAATATTTACCAAAAATTTTGTGTTTTTAATGATTTAATTAACCAGCAACCCTTTTAGAAATACTTACCTTCCAAACTCTGGACAGTGGTCAAGATAGCTGACCCCTACAATCCATAGACTGAAAAATCATGAATCAAAATGAATTAATTACCATAACAAAAATTGCTTTCAGTAAGAAAATGTTTTGTAGATTGTTGACTAAACATGCACAGCATATCTAGGATGAAGTTCCTTATTTTGTGATCTAGGCCAGACATGTTTGTGCAGTGCCTCACATTATGCTTTGTAATGTGTTAGACTTATTATGTCATGGTCATCCCAGCAGAGTAATGAGTTTTCCTATTGTTAATTTTTTTGTAGTTCAATGAAATACATATTTTGCATCTTTAAAATCTTTAATTGCAACTATTTTATCACCTTTCCAACACAAAAATAGCATTGGCGATTAATAATTATACCTATTGTGGCACAAATGCTCGACCCCCAACCTCTGACCTGTAGTTCTACAGTTTTTGTTTAAAAGTAGAGATTTAAATATGTAATTTGACAGTAATATACTCTAGCAGATTTGTTTGGGGTGATATGATAGGGTATGGGTAAATCTAGATTTTAGGGAATACTTCCCATTGTGGAAAGAGGAGAATTTTTTATCTTCACTGAAAATATGGACAGACCTCTTGGTCAGAAATCCAATGAGGGACAGAGTAAAACTATGTATAGATTATGTGAATAAAATAGGACAATATTGAGGTGAGATTGATATTTCTTTTCTATGGTGGCATTATTTGAAAATATGTTAAGTAAATATACAAATTAGTTCTGTTTTCGGGAAAATCTCCTCTCTCTTTTAGGGAAATTATCCCATGATTTCATTACATCTTCTTGATGGGGAACTAGTTTATAGTCAGAGGGGAAAAAGACTTGCTGACTACTACCCTTTTTTGGTAGTAGAATTTGTCTAGATTAATCCCTGTAGAGAATGTATAAATATAATGGAGAAATAACAAGAATGTCATCAAGAGGTATCATTTTCGTATAAAAATTTATGAGGGATCTGAATTCATGGTTGGCTGTCATGTATTAATGCAAAAATAAATTTCATACAGGATTTAAGTGATTTACAGTCATCTTTTCTATCACACAAATTATAATTTTACAGACCATCCTTCACAGCTTATAGCTAAAATCATTCTTGTTATAAACAATATACCTGGTAACGAGAAATCCAGAGGATCTTACCCTTGTGTCGATATAATATCGTCCAATGAGTTAAATGATTTGATAAGTCACAAGTATTAAAGCTAGTGACATATCAAATTAATCATCAAGTGAAATAAATTCCATGCTATATCAACACAAGTGTCAGATTCTATTTATCATACAACTCAAATTTCTGCAAAATAAATGAAATCTCAAAAAAAAAACCCCAAAAAATCCTATTAGATAAGCTTATTTGAATTTTAGACTTCTGGTATTTTTTTCAGAGCTGATACAATAATGTGACGTCATCAAGACATGACTTAAACATGACTTGTTACATGTCTTATGATATTTACAATATGACTGTATGACATAACAGTTATCTGATAAATTACTGTAGTACCTTTTATGCGACATCAGACTTGTTGCATATTCCAACAACAGAAACTCTCTCAGATTGGAACCAAATCTGTAACACAAAATAATATCATCGTTGGAAACAGAATACAAGGTAGATAATTTCATTGCTTTGAGTTCATCGACCTAGAAATATATGGAATATATGATTTCCTTCATTTAATCAAAGTACTGAAAGTACTGGTATGCTAAGACCATTAAAAAATAAATTCTTTATTATTAGCTTGCTATATACTGAAACCAACTATATGCAAGCAGTAAATCATTGCAGCCCATCAAAACTGACCAGCAGATATCAGAAATAACAAGCTTAGTAGTATTACTTATGAAATACATGTCCCAAGTAGGCTCCAAGATAGGGAAGTTGTCCATTTCTTTGGATACATTGTAGGGAATGTTGATCTTGGACACCATATTATCACTTTAAAGACTGCGTATCTTATTGGTTTAAGACCATTAGTTAGACCATCATGCAAATAACATGCTACATACAAATATTGAACTGCTTCATTTTCCAGATTGTTTGTAAATGACTGCATAAGAGTGCCAATTTTCTAAAACAAACATGATTTGTCACCATAACTTAAAATAGAAGATGCCTATTCTTCCGGAACACCTGGTCTTATTTTCCTTGTACTTTTTCAGGGAATCTTCAAGTAGATATTGTCTTTGTTTCAATTTTACACTTGTTTTGCTGGTTCTACAATTCTGTTGACATGTTTATATATTCTTTGTTCTCTAAAACTTGTCGCAAGATATTTTATTCCTCTTGTATTATCATTTTTTAACATCCTTACAGTGACCTTGAACCTTGAAATTTGCAAGATGTGAATATCTTTTAGGTTGTGAAATTTGATAGAAAAACGAGGGTAATGCAAAGGAAAACATCCCCATGCAACTATCCGTTTTTTTACTGTAATCTTGATCTTTGACATCTGACCCTGAATTTCTAAAGAAACCGACTTCTCATAAGGGATACATGTTCCAAATTTGATTAAGGTATACTAACTGTCTTAGTCTCAATGCGTTTACAAGGTATTCATGCAAGTATTCAATCCTCAAAATCATTACTATATCCTCTCCACATTGCCCAGGGATAACTGAAACTGTAATCCAAATGATAACTAATACCCCCAACACCCACAGCCTTAGTTATCTCCCCATGGTGACTTTTGCACAGAAACATCCTCTGAAACACAGCGGCATGTGCACGTTCCCTAACATTCCTGCAAAGTTTTGTTGAAATTGGTCCACAGGTTTAGAAGTTGACCGACATGCAAAACCTGTCTATATTGACCAGTTGCCATGGCAATCAATATTTTGAGGGAAAATGGTGCATGCACATCTACACATTGTCCTGAATATTACTGTAAAGTTTCATTGGAGTTGTCCAGACAAGATGTGTCTACAGACAGACAAACAGATGGATGGACGGATAGACAACCTGATTCCAGTTTACCCACCTTTTGGTGGTATAAGAATGCACAAGAGTACTTACAAATTCCATGTGGACAGACATCATTGAAAAATAATAATGATAATAATAAAAACATGATAAAGATACTTATATCTTGTTTTATTAAGTTTTTAGATATAGTATTCTTTCCATGCTTTGATCAGCATTGTAATCTTGTCAAGTCAATATCCTAGTACAAGATTGCATACACAAAATTGTTGTAGGTAGACTTTTAAGATAAATAAAAAAAAAAAATACATGCCTAAGTTTAAATGAAGGTTTTAAACAGAAGTCATATTATGTTCAGTATACAGTGCTTTTTCTAGACAATTGTAAACTATAAACTCGGTATACAGCGATCTTTTCTACACATTTGTAAACAACAAACTCAGTATACAGTGATCCTTTCTACACAAACTTGGTATAATAAGTGAATCTTTCTACTCAAGTAAATTGAAGATTGTATACAAATTTACTACAAATGCAGCATACAATGATCTTTTCCACATTTTTTTAGTTTCTGCCATTTGTTGATTCTTCTTTTGTGATGGTAAATATATTTCCGCCTTTAGAGAGTACTGTGACCTTAAAAGACAACATGGTTGTTAGCATCTCCTCAAGTGATTAATCATCTTCAACATCTAATTGGAGGCCGGAAAGAAGGACGTTTTTCTCCACCATAAGGTCCTCAAATCCATTGTTGGTCACCATGGCCAATTCCAACTTAGAAGAATCAATAGAGATACCTTCTACCATTCCCGATTTCATTTCTTGAAGGACATCCACCTGCTGAAAGAGAGTAAGGGAAATAAATAACTATATTTCATTATTGCTATGATTGTGTGCAAGAAATATACACTTCTGTATAAGCTTATAGTCTTGAACTTCCCAATAGGAGTCTATATTAAATATATTGTAATTGTTTTGACGTTCAGGACTGTCAAATTATTAAGCGATGGACAGCTAGCAAAATAATAATATCTTGACAATGGTCATACAGAGATTGAATCATAAGTTAAATTTGTGTGATAAATCTGTGCAGTATGATAATTTATTTTGACGTTTGTATTTCAAAAATCATTTTGACTTGAAAAGTAATGTGTAATTTAATTAATTACATTGGACCGTCATGTAATGGTAATGCCATTTTCATAATGTAATTGTAATTTAATTAATTACATCATCATGTAATTGAACCCATGCCTGTTACAAACAGTAGCTGTCCTAACTGATCCTAAAATTAACTTTGGCTACGTCTATCACAAAATTAACTTTGGCTGTCTATTACAAATGCCACATTTAGCTACAGTAGAGGTATTTCAAAAATGTATGTCATTGTAGCTGAAAGAACATAATTAATGGTTACTTAACCAGAACTACAGTTCTGAACAAACCACTACAAAGCCTGGTTAAATGTACTAAGAAAATGTCCTCTCAATTAATCAATTTCATTGATTATCGACATCTTATTGTTGTACTTACGGTCACTTGAATTTCTTAAAGTTTCAATTTGACTTTTAATAAGGCCCAAAGTGATAATACTGCAATGTCTTAATTAGCTCTCGAGGGGTATTGGTTAGACTATTTATCCCATTTCATTCCATTCACCATGGAAACAAAACTCTAAAACGCTAAAAAAACAGTCGACAAGTAATGACAAATATTGTGCCTAGGGCTGGGTAAAATTGATGAATCAAAAGTATTGAACTGAAAGTGGACGCAGTTGACATAATACTGAAATTTCTGAGATGAACAAATAAAGTACATATATTAAAAGTTCAGGCATAATAAGAATTGTACCAATTACACTTTACACATTCACACTGGGACCTTACACTTTACACAGTCACACTGGGACCTAACACTTTGCTAGGTTTATCCTAATCTTCATTAAAACACTTTCCGGGATTCAGATGTTAATTGACATCTTCATTATTCCCAATCTTCATATTGTAATCGTTCACATGCATCACTCTTCAACAGAATCAACGAGACATCATGTCAGAAAGACAAAAACTAAATTTAAGCTAAAACTATATATATTAACTTCACATGTAAACCTTACAATTGGCATAGCTGTAGAGTTCCCGTACGATTTCATACCCTGGACTTGGGGTACTTATAAATTATCTCCGATCAGAAATTTGAAAGAGCTAGATCTACAATAGCACAGACAGTGACCGATATTTTAAAGTAAAATCGATATATTAGCGTAAGTAGTACAGTACAACATTACGGATAAGTTTTTTTCTGTTTAATTTCAAATCTGTTGGGCCACTGACAGAAGTGACTGCGATGAGACCATTATGAAACGATCATTCAAAAATAAATCCATTTCAAAATACTGAAATACTTTACGGAAGGAACAAAAATGTGCTAGATGCTTACATAACATTTTTCAAATGCATACTGCTTCAAAGGAAAAGTCTTGAAAATATTTTGAAAAAAAAGTGCCATGGCGGCAGTGCCCAGCTTGCGCGTCGCCGTCGAGTCTAAATTCAATACATGCGATGGCTCATTTCAAATGAATTGTTGCAAAAAAATGCAATTGCTAGTTCAGTATAAGTATTGACTTTAAATTAAGCTTACATATATATATAGAGTGATACTTACCTACATAAATTACCCGCCGTCTTCTTTCAGCCACCGTCTTCTTTCAGGGTCCAGCAGCACAGAGCACCCCGGCTGTTTCCGTCAAAATTTTATGCTACTCTAAATCATTCTTATTTTAGTTTCATTTTTATTTCCAACTACATATTTCAGTATTTTAATAGTTTTCAATAGTATTAAACGGGAAGTAAATTTTCAAAAAGAAAAAAAAAAGAAAGTAGTACAAATATATATGACGCCCACAATGCATCGCGCGGAAAAGAAAGTTAAGCCGCCATATTGGCATCGCCTCGCAAAATTTACCACCATAAACGTGAGTCTTTGTCATTGTATTTACAAATTTCGATGTCTGATTATAATTTATACACAACACAAAACGTTTTCTTGATGTACAAGTAATGAAGAAAATGTCGATAAGGTTGTTTCATTTAATGACTAGCATCAGCAACTTGTAGGGGCGATAATCCAATGATTACAGTAATGTCCGGCAGATGGAGTAGGAGTAAACTTGCGATTTATGAACCAATGAAAACGAAGTACTGATACTCAGGGGCGACAGCAACATGCTGAAGAGCAATGCTCTTAGCATAAAAAGTATTTACACGAACAGTGAAAACCAACAAGTAAACCTTAGAGAGCCTCTGGGGGTGTGAAACAAACAATGAAATGATAAAATGCGATATAAAGTCAGAGGAACGCAGTTCCCTCTGTACTATTTGCTAACAAAACACGCTATGTTTCGCTGATTTCCTTCATGGCCCTATGTAGGTCATCACCAAACAGCTGTGTTGTTACAGGGTTGTTTATTCAAATCAGGCTTGATCAGATCCCGTCTTCTCTGACTTATCTCTTGCGAACCCGCACTGATAAGCATAAAGCAAAACACGCTATGACTGCTAACGATGCGCACGCATCTCATGGGATCCCGGATGTACTATCCAGGAGTGAATGACAGAATCACTATTAGTTGAAATTTTAATTTTATTTTCTATTTTTGTTTCTGTCTTATTACAGTTTTGAAAAAAATATATCAATACCTGGAAAATGTCTGCGTACCACACTTCATGAACTTTAGATCTTATCAGTGATATGAGTTGAAAAAGTGTTGATACCTTTATGGTGTCCCACCTAAACTTTAGGTTAGTTCTTAGTTCCATATGAAAAAAAAAATAAAAGCTTACTGGAAACCATGTATAGCACAACAAATTTCTGTACATGAAAAATTACAGAGATACTACATCTAAATCAAAGTTGAAGTATATCAATTTTACCAACAGAGTCACTTTATTGTTATCACAGAGACAATGGTAAACAAGATGTTTTTTCGTGACATATAAGGATGTAGAGAAGATATTTACCTTGCACAAATCTCACCATTCTTTGTAAAATCTAGAACGTCCCTGTTTAGCGGATGTATTTTTGCCTTTGAAAAACTGGAACTAAATATGACTTCATTTTGTATCATGTAACTATCCAAAAAGATTTGTATAATGTAACTATTACTAGAATTTGTATAATACGACTATCAAATTGGAATTATAGATCTGACCTTCAATGTATTATTTGTCTATTAACATTAATCATTTCATTAAAATTAATTTTCAAGTTAATCACATGCATATATTTTACAAGACAATAAAATGTGTTTTAAGGTATTTTCATTCAAGATTCAAAGCACTTGATGTCCTATTAATTAAAACAGAAAGGTAACGACATCAAAAACCCATTAAAATGTTCCAGGACTATTGGTAATATATGAGTGAGAATTGATGATCAGGTTTGGTGTATTTACATTTCTAGATGTTTAGTTTATAGTTTCTAATTGAAACTGTTATTGTATGTAGTGTTGTTTTTTTTTTTCATTGTTTACATATACATTGTAGTTTGCTGACTATGTACTTACTTCTGAATAATTTACATTTAATTTCATCTTTGCTGATTTTTAATTAAGTTTATATAGTGTTTGTATGTGATGTTCAGTGTCTGGTTATATCTTTTAGCTCTGTTTATGCTCAGTAATATTTTCACACACATTTACAGCAAATAAAAAAAATTTCCCTGAGCTTAAAAGTTTGCAAATTTACCCCAAATAAAGCAAAGATCAGGAATATTTGTGTGATTTCAAAAAGTCATCAGTACATTATCCTATACACTTTATAAAGGCAGAGACAGCCTATGAAATTCAACTAGATAAAAAAGAATACACAACTTGTGGTAGTTTCAAGTATCAGATACAGTTTTTATACATATGTATCACCCTGTTAATACACAATTATCTCCACAGTGTAAGCTTATTTTTTCATACAGAGAATAGAGCCAGTTCCATATGTAGGAGCTTGGGTTGATTTGCAAATATATTACACTTGAACTGAAAGGTAAAAATCTCAATCACAACGAGCTGAGGATGATCCTGTCCTGATCAAGTCCTCGGGGCGAAACCAGTAAATATATAGTAAAAATACACTACTCTTATCATCCTGAGCTTGATGCAATTGATTTTTACCTTTTAGTTCCGACTACTTTTCAATCGCCCGGCATACCTGGAAGTATCCAAGCTAGGGATAACAGAACCAACACCACAAGAAGTACGGCATTGGTTGTATTCCCTCCTGGATATTTACACTTGAACTGGGTACATCTTTGACCTCTGTACGTGGTATCTTTTGTTGGAAAACTGCCTATCGGTATTAAGATTTAAATAACTTATCAATTAATAATATTTTGAAATATATGGTTATACACAGTATTGAAAAGGTATGCTTATAGAGAATTTTTGCAGAAAAATGCTTTTTTATTTCATTTTACCGATCAGTGATACTCTGAAAACTTGAAAACGAGCAAACTACAAATAGAACCTTATCCAGAAATTAAGCTTGTATTTTCTTATTATTATAGAAATTAGCCACATCTTATTTTCAAGTTTTTAGGATAGTGTGTAATGGAAATTTAACCTTCACTCATTCACAGTACTGCAATGTTATATTACATGTATGATATAAGATAATATGTACAGGGTATTATTTCACCGTCAACAGGGTACTTGTATCGAAAATAAAATCCTACAGTGAATTACAATTTTTGTATATCTGGTGGGCCATTGTTCAGGATAATGTTGTCATTATTACAAATCTCATCTCACAAATAATTCTTACGTCCTGTTTCAAATCTCTACTATAAAATCATGAAATTCATATTCCTTGAATTCAGGGGTACTCTAAATTCACACATTTACTTGTTCACCATACACAGTATATGGATTATAGTAGTACATACAGTGGGGTTTGTGAGCAAGATATATCTATGAAATAAACAAGGAGAGTGCCATTTTAGGTCAGCTGCGAAAAATCTGATGATGATCAATAGGGATCACTTCTGGCATCAATCAATTTCTTCTCAAAAAACTCTGAATTGGTTTCAAAGAAATTTTGCAGAAACTTTCCCTGGCGAAAGATGAACAAAATAATGAATTATATGGTCCCCATCCCACAGGGCCCTGAGGGGCAGGGGTCTGAGGGGCAGGGGCCTGGGCAGATTGGCAGGGCTCAACACCCAGATATGGTAGAATAAAATGCCTTCATTGATGGAGGCATCTTTAGGTGTTTTACTCTTCCATTGGAACCCTTTGTGATCCTGGCTGACCCCCAGGAGCTGATGGGCTGGTCCAGGTATGGTAGAATAAAATACTCTTCATTGATGGAGGCATCTTTAGGTGTTTTACTCTTCCATTGGAACCCTTTGTGATCCTGGCTGACCCCCAGGGGCTGATGGGCTGGTCCAGGTATGGTAGAATAAAATGCCTTCATTGATGGAATCCTCTTAAGGTGCTTTAATTACCAAAGGAGATCGAAGGAAGTTGATTTTACTGTAATTTTCACAGAAAAATTGCATCTTTAAGCAAAATTGGAAATAATTTTGTAAGAATTGTTATTAGTAAAGGATGACAGTTTTGATGGTATGCAGGTATTGACACTGACTGACTATCATCAATGTCACAATTTCTTTTTCATGACACTTGAAAGCTTAAAATCAATATTGCTTATCTCAGGTGATCAGCAAGGTCGCTAGGCCTCTTGTTGGAAAACCATAAAATGTAAGCTCCACGAAAATATATGATTTCAGAGTATATGTTAATTATTTCTTTATTCCTATTAATATTCTATACATTAAATATAATTACATCATATAATATCATATCAGATATGCAAATTAATGTCACTTTCTGGTTAATATCACATTTTCTTGAAAGAATGATTTTTACCCTATTAATATTATCTTTATATAGATTTTTACATTCAAGATCTGCTGGTTGATGTTCATAATTATATTTGTATCATATTTTTTTTGTGAGTTACAAATAGATATGTTTTTAAACCATATAATAGTTGATTGTTGTGAATGCAGCTTGGTTAGAAATATTTGTACCGTTATATTTCAGGCACTTCCACTTTTTTTGTCTAAAGTTTACCACGTAGATTACTCAAGGATATATTCATACAATGTACATTATATGTATGCTTCCTCCAATCAGCTAATAGCCTAACTTTCGGAAATCTTTTCCATCATTTTCAATTTGAAAGTAATCATACAAATTTGGTGGTGTTGAAATATATTGTGCCTTAAACTGTCACCACCCCATCCTTGGTTACATCCATATTGCATGAAGACTGCTGGGGTTTTATTTTAAAGTCATGATTGATCGCGTACTAGGAAGTCATGTCACTTTAAATTGGTAAACAACTTTACTGAAGTCAAGATTGATGGTGTCACTTCAATCAGGAATCAACATTAACAAAAGTAAACATTTATCATGTACCTGGTACCTCACAAAATTATTGGAGACATTACTGAAATAACAAGCCAAAACTGACAGAATTATTGAAGATTTTACTGAAATTACACGGCACAACTGACAGAATTATTGAAGATTTTACTGAAATTACACGGCACAACTGACAGAATTATTGAAGATTTTACTGAAATGCATTGTTGAATACATTGAACCCTTGAAGACTTCAACAAAATCACATCATGTTGAATTCACAACACCATAAATCTGTTTTGTGGTGATTCAAACATATAAATTAAACAGGAAAATATAGTTTTCAAATAACTGAACAATAAATTACTTTAAATCATATTTTATTCATGAACAAGAGATCCCAGAGGGATCTTGGCGCCCACCATTTGAGGATCTGTTTTCAGTTCTTGAAGATTTGTTTATTTTTTTTTGTTTGTTACAGGTGTTGTAAATGTTCATGAACTGGTCTTCATTGAATGTACTCAATGATGGCACAAGATATTTTTATTAAGCACCTATTAGCAAATATCATTTGAAAAAGATCCCAAAGTATTATTAGATAGCAGTCAGTTACAGGTGGATAATGGACAATACGCTTGTGTTGTATTACTGTCGACATCCAAGATGGCTGCCTGTGGGCCACCTTGATTTCAAATCAGTCCAAAAAAGGTACAATGCACAACTAGGGACCAAGGGAAACCAATATCTATGAAATATCAGAAGGATCCATCCAGTACTTCCTCAGATATAGCAGTAACAAGATTTTACTCTCAAAATCCAAGATGGCTGCCTGTCAGCCAACTTGATTTCGGATCAGTCCAAAAAGGTATAATGCACAACTTGGAACCAAAGGGAACCTGTATATGAAATTTGAGAAAGATCCATACAGTACTTTCCAAGAAATAGCAGTAACAAACTTTTACATTCAAAATCCAAGATGGCCACCTGTCTGCCATCTTGAATTCGAATCAGTCCAAAAAAGGTACAATGCACAACTAGGGACTAAGGGGAAACTGCATATGAAATTTGAGAAAGATCCATCCAGTACTTTTCCAGAAATTGCGGTAACAAACTTTTACTTCCAAAATCCAAGATGGCCACCTGTCGGCCATCTTGAATTCGAATCAGTTCAAAAAAGGTACAATGCACAACTAGGGACTAAGGGGAAACTGCATATGAAATTTGAGAAAGATCCATCCAGTACTTTTCCAGAAATAGCGGTAACAAACTTTTACTTCCAAAATCCAAGATGGCCACCTGTCGGCCATCTTGAATGCGAATAAGTTCAAATAAGGTACAATGCACAACTAGGGACTAAGGGGAAACTGCATATGAAATTTGAGAAAGATCCATCCAGTACTTTTCCAGAAATAGCGGTAACAAGAATTGTTTACGGACGGACGGACGACGGACCACGGACGCAGGGCGATTTGAATAACCCACCATCTATTAGATGGTGGGCTAAAAATAAAAGACACACAAAAACCAATTGACACTGTTATTTAAAAAGATTATTTCAATTGCAAACATACAAACATTAATTTGAATGAAAAAAAGAATTCAACTAAAAAAATGTATACCTAGTTTTATATGATATGACAAAATGATATACTATGTATTTATTTTGTCATACTTGAGGTTGGCGGGGGTGGATGGGGTTTGGGGATGGGGGCAGGGGGGGGGGGTAATAATTTTCGTGAGGTAGTTCAATTGCACATCACACAAAATTGATATACAGTATTATGTCCTTCAGTATTTTTATCATGGAGCTGATCCTAGTCTGTTTAATTAATCAGAAATTCTAATAAATAAGCATTTTAATTTGTCTGGGATGTTTTTCTCTCCTTTTTTGTCTTTTGTGTGTGTTAATTCAATCTTTCTGACATGTAATGGTCAGATTGCTTGACAGACAAGACACCTGAAGATTTATTCTGACACACACTGGTCAGATTGTTTGACAGACAAGACACCTGATGATTTATTCTGACACACACTGGTCAGATTGTTTGACAGACAAGACACCTGATGATTTATTCTGACACACACTGGTCAGATTGTTTGACAGACAAGACACCTGATGATTTATTCTGACACACACTGGTCAGATTGTGTGACAGACAAGACACCTGATGATTTATTCTGACACACACTGGTCAGATTGTTTGACAGACAAGACACCTGAAGATTTATTCTGACACACACAATCCTAGGTGGATCTGAAGGATTCTAGCAGAGCTCCATAGACGATAGGTACTAACCACTAAATAAAGGATGGAGCATCAACACCAAGGATTCTGTGATCGGTAGTTTTATTAGGTTGACATGTTTCGGCTGGCTAGATTGGCTGTCACCAAAACAACGGTACAAGTATTGGCATAGCTAAGCTTAAAATTACTGTTCAGCCATGACGTAATAACGCATTATCTTGATCACGTGATGATAACAATACAGTTTGTTACACTATACAATGTAAAGGAACAATGGTAGCTATAGATTATATAAAATACAAAAATGGTACAGCGATGCTGTTTATAAAGTAATTGAAATGTTCTGTAACAATTTTTAAAGGTAAATTAGAAGTTCTAAATGTGCTGAGAGTACCCATATAGCCTGTAGCTTTTGTAATCCATCGTTGATACCCTAACACCAAGCATTCACAGTAACACAGAGGTGTTAAATTTTGTCACAAGAAATTTCAATATTATTGCCACTCCCTAATAACGCTTCAGGACAAATTGGTTGAAATCTACCCAGGCATTCAGAAGGAGTAGCATTTTGGAGCATAAGATTGTCTAACTTCCCCATTTGGGCCTCCCCCCAGTTCCCTAGGGTTCAAATCAATTTTCTTAAGTTAAGAAATGATGACATACCCACAATGATATTTCATACCACATTTGGTGAAAATTTGTTCAAGCATTAATGAAGAGTAGCATTTTGAAGCAAAATATTGACTAACTTCCCCATTGGGGGCCCCACCCTTAAGTCCCTAAGGGCCAAATTAACTTTCTGAATTAATAATTATTTGCCCAACTCTACTGATGTTTCAGATAAAATTTGAATTAAGCCATTTATCTAAGCATTAAGGAAGAGTAGCTTTTTGAAGCAAAATGTTGACTAACTTCCCCATTTGTTGCCCCTCAGTTTCTTGGGATCAAATCAACTTTTTGAGTTCAAGAAATAATTGCCTACTCAAATTGATGAATCAAGCCAAAGTGTGTTGAAATTTACCAAGGCAGAAAGGAAGAGTTGGGTTTCAAAGCTACTTTCAGCACCTTTACTTTGGGGCCCTGTCCCTCGACCCCTACAGGTCTAATCAAAATTCTGTGTTTAGTAGATGGTAACCCTCACCCACTGATACATCAGACCAAGATTTGTTGGAATCTACCAAGATATGAAAGAGGATTAGGATTTTAAAGAAAAAGTTTATGCACAACATACGATGAACATTGGGTTCTGATGACCTAATGAAATAAAATATTCTGAATTACATTTAAAACATTTTGTTTTCATATAAAGGTATAATAACACAAAGAGTATTATGTATATTAAATTGATACATGAAAATTAATAAAAAATATCAAACCTTGACATGGATCATAAAAACCACCTGTCATCAAAACAATAAAATAAAAAGCCAAAACATAAAAACTCCAATTCAAAGCATCCAGAATTATAAAGACTTAATAGTTAGAAAATAAAACAGAATGTTTATCTGAGTTACATACAAGATCATACAAACCCTCCAAATAAAAAAAAAAATCAACAGGCTTAAGTTGGTTCTATTTCTTGTCAAACTGAACAATAATTAAGGAAGCAAAAAAAAATCCTTAAAAAATACTGAAAAAATCAGTAAAATTCAGAATGAAAGACATTTTCTTCTAAATGCTTTACTCAACAGACAACTG